ATGTGTATAAGTAGTATTTATAAAGTTTTAGCTTTTAGTTTTGGATCTGTTTTTAGTTGTTTTAATACTACAATTGATTGCTTCTGTTGTCCTCATTTGTAAGTCGCTTTGGATAAAAGGAAAAAATAAATAAATAAAATAAAAAAACTATATTACAAAAAAAATAATAGCAGCCAGAGACACTTGACAAAACATTTTAAGACACATTATCTAAAGAAGAGACATTTTTTTGACATTTTTTTTTTATTAGGTAAAATTATTGTTTTAACAATGTTTAGATTTGTTTTTTTAACTATGGAAAAAAAAAAAAAAGATCATGTTAAAAATGAAATATAGTGTACATGATTTTTAGTATAGCACTGAGATTTTCATCATTCTTATCATTATGGATGAAGATTTTAACCAAAGCTGCATTTATTTGATTAAAAATACAGTAAAAAGTAATATTGTGCAACAGTATCATAATTTAAAACAGCTGTTTTCTAGGTTACTCGAGTTTTTCAGTGTCACATAATTCTTCAGAAATCATTCTAATATGCTGATTTGGTGCTCAAGAAACATTTCTTATTAATATCGATGTTGTACTGCTTAATATGTGATTAACAGAAAGTTCAAAAGATCAGCATTTGTTTGAAATGGAAAACTGTCATTTAATGAAATTATTATTTCTTAAATAAATAAATGAAAAATATAATCAAATCAAATAAAACATACTGATCCCAAACTTTTAAATGAACAGTAGTGTAAATTTCAAAAGACAATAATTCTAGTGGCTAAAAATAAACAATGTAATAAGCTAAATTATGGAAGAAACCCTGTTGCAACACTTTTTTTTTCTTTAAGTGTAACAATATGAAAATAAACATAATTGGTCTTTATAATAATATACGGTTACACTTTATTTTAAGGTGTCCTTGTTACAGTGTAATTATACATTTAAGTATAGAGTAACATTAATTAACTACATGTACTTACTATATGGTTAGGGTTAGGATTAGGGTTTGGCTTGCATGTAATTATGCATAATTTATTTTTATTATAATAGTAAGTACATGTAACTTGTGTAACAAGGACACCTTAAAATAAAGTGTTACCTAATATACTGATGAATCATGCACAATAAGACAAGATAAAAGAGAAATGGTAATTTCTGATGTCATGTTAATGTGCAATGATAGGTCAAGCACTCACTTGTCTCTGCGTTGCATGCGTCTCCGGGCCTCCTGGGCCTGGCTCTGGAGGAAGTTCTGCAGCTGGAGGGTGTCACACATAGTGGGGATGATGAAGTGGCCTATCTCATGCAGGCAGGGGGTGGAGTGGTCACTATGGCAACAGAACAGAATAGAAAAACAATGATTGACGGGACATTAAGCAGCACAAAGACTTCTAAGTGAACAGTGAGGATATATCAGTCAGAAATGAATAGAACACAGGGAACCACAGGAATAACACTATACCATTCATATACAATCTGTTGTTAACAGACCAGTATGGTCTCTCTTCGGTTTCATTTTTATGTTTATCTTGTCCTTTTAGTGGAATACTATTCTTTACATTTTCCACAGCAATCCATTTAAAGCTACAGTGCATCATTTATTGTAATTTCACTTGCTGTTCACATCAAGATACCAATGATACTATATTAGTGTCCACAACAATGGACAGTACGGTTTGTTTGTTGTAAGCAAACATTACAGTTATTTTGTATTTCGATTTGCTGATGGCATCAAAAGAAAATAATTAAATTAAAGCAAACAAACTGCCATTTAGATTTTATTTTGAAGTGGCATTAATGGAGAACAGGCTTTCTGGTCACATAATGTTACAGTTATGTTAGTTAGATTTTATCCATAACAATTTGATTGGACTGTTGGCTATGACATTATTGCCTAATATTACTTTTAAATATTTATATCTAATAATTTTTGTTAATATACTACCATTTGTTTTTTTTAAAGAAATTAATAAATTGATCAAAAATAATACTAAAGACATTTATAATGTCAATTTATAAGATGAAAAAACATATATATCATTGTTTCCACAAATATATTAAGCAGCACAGTTGTTTTCAACATTGATAATGATAATAAATCTTTATTGAGCACCAAATCAGCATACTAAAATGATTTCTGAAGGAGTATGTGACACTGAACTGACTGAAGACTGGAGTAATGATGCTGAAAATTCAGCTTTACCATCACAGGAAATATTAAAATAGAAATCCATTATTAATTGAAATAACATTTCACAATAATATTGTTTTTACTGTACTTCTGCTCAAATAAATGCAGCCATAAAAGACTTATTCCAAAAACATTTTAAAAAATCTTACCAACCCTAAAGATTTGAACTGTAGGGAATATTATAAAAACATTAAATGATTTTTTTATCTCTTCTTTAATTATGTTATAAGAAAATAAAAGTTGGTTCAGAGAAGGAAAAAAACAAAAATTTCCTGATCCAACAATACAACGCAAAAATTAATTTATTTTGTGACTTGATTTCATGGTAACTTTAAAGGAACACTCCACTATTTTTGAAAATAGGCTCATCATTCCGGCGTAATAATCAAGGAACTTTGCTGCCGTACCATGAGCGCCTGAAAATAGTCCCCAGCACACTCCCTGTGCAAGCCCTAGGGGAGTTGGAAAATGAGCCTATTTTCAAAAATAGTGGAGTGTTCCTTTTAACCTGCCCATAAGTAAGCTTGCCTTACATACTGGTAAGTCAGTCTGGTATTGTTGAGACTCAATTTCTCACATAGTTGAAGGTCGTAAACACAGAAAATGCGCACAAACAAATGGCTGGAATTGAAGCATACGAGTATTTACTTTTCCAAGGTCATTGTGAGGCCTTGCATGCTGCGCGGGTGCAGAGAGAGGCGCTGAGGCAACAGTCTCTTGTGGAAAGTGTTGAGGGTGCTGTAGTGTTCCTCCAGAGGCAGAGCTGGACCCATCCGCTCGATGTGGATCACCTGAATCCCTCCCAACAGGTGACTGATGTGCTCTTTCAGCCAGTCCGACTGCTGGAACAGGCTTCGGTAACTCAGCAATCTTTCAAAGAGCTGAGCATACACATGGACAGACACAAACACATCTTAGTCAGCAAAAATGTTTATGTTTTTTTTTTTTAAAGCTAAGAATACCATAAGACTGGTTTAATAGATGAGCTGTACCTTTGTCCATTGATGGTGGACATCCATTGTTCCTAACATAACATGCCCGGAGGCATTCATCCCTGACTGGTCAGTAAAAACTATTGTGTGTCCTATGTTTTGGAAAAGAAACAAAATTAAGCAAATATTATGCCATCTAATTCCATCTCGTGAATCTCATTTCCATGGTTACCTCTCAGGATGTGCAGAGCCTCAGGGCTTTGTGTGAAGAGACGACCCAGACTCTGCAGCTGACTGCATTTGTGTGCAAAACCCCATTTGCGCTGCCACCTACAGGACAGAGAACCACATGATCAAAGTGAATATATTGACAACAGTATGTAAGAACTGGATACTCTGTCCAATAGTTTTACACATGCAGACAGAAGTTTAAAAGTATGGGGTTGGTAAAAATTGTTTCAATGTTTTTGAAGTCTCAAGGCTGCATTTGATCCAAAATACAGAAAAATACTGTGAAAATATTGTGAAATTTTCTGTTTTAATATATTTTAATATGTAATTTCTACCTGCTGGATTTTCAGCATCATTACTATAGTCTTCAGTGTCACATGATTCAGAAATCCTTCTAATATCGTGATATAGTGCTCAAGTAACATTATCATCTTCAATGTTGAAAGCAGTTGTACGGCTTAATACTTTTGTGAAAACCATGACACTTTTTTTTTCAGGATTCTCTGATGAATAAAAAAGTTGAAAAGATCAGCATGCATTTGAAATAGATTTTTTTCTGTAACATTATAAACGGTCACATTTGATCAGTTTAATGTGTCCTTGCTGAACAGAAAAAAAAATATAAAAAATAAAAAATAAACATTATCCCAATTTTAAATATCACAGAGGCTTGGCCTTGGGCCATTTTTACTTGTCCTCTGCACAGACTTTTTATATTTCTTTGCATAATAATATTGTGTTAAATCCTTTCTATAATAAATTTAAAGTCAAAGAAAATCTATTAAGTAACTTTAAAAACGATTTATAAAAATACAATTTTCAACCCATTTGGTACATATAGCCTATGTGCACCATTTGTAATATATGTAGTTTCACTCATTTTTTCAATTTCACTTAATATTCTGAGAACAGTTGGAAGTTTAATTTGAGAATATATTTAATAAAAAATGGAAAAATTTCACAAAACAAACACCACACCATAATATACAATCAAAATATCATTTGAAGGTTAATTAATGCCAAAAGTAAGATTTAGCAGACTATTAGAGCATATAGTCTGAGTTAGAGCTGACCTGATATCCAACAAACCAAGTTTCTGAATCAGCTCTCTTTTCAGTCTTTTCAGCTCCTCACGGCGTGGAACACTGGCATTCTGTTTCTTTGTGGCTTCTGGCTCATTGTTTCTCAGCCATAAACTGAATATAAAGACAAACAAAAAAGCAAAACAATGTTTAAGATCTGACAGTAAGTTAAATGAAACATTATATATCCAAGATTCATTAAAGAATAGTGGCAATGAAATATGCCTGATATAATATACCTTTGTTCATATATTACATATAGTATTGTCTTTGTATTAGTGTGTTACTTTGTACTAGTGTATTCTATACTAGGTCTCCAAAACCCTTTCTAAAGATGTTATAAAGCACAAAGTTCTTCCACTCAAATGGGTCAGGGAGTTCACAGTAGTCGGGTTAAGGTTTAGCCAATTCCAATATCAACACACCACACAAAACTACAGCAAACAATAATCAAGCTCAGGTTTAACCCTGTAAAGTTTAACATATGAAATAATCAAGGAAATCACTTTTTTTTTTTTTTTTTAATGGAACAGTTTATTGAACCTTAAGCACCACCCGGCCAGGCGGCTCACCTCGCTCCTGTAGTTTGTCTCATCTCTGTTGCTAGTGAGACCCACCACAGTCGTGTCAGCCGCAAACTTAATGAAGAGGTTGGAGTTGTGTGACAGTGTGCAGTCGTGTGTCAGCAGAGTGACGAGGAGGGGGCTCAGCACACATCCTTGGGGGGCACCAGTGTTCAGTGTGATGGTGCTGGATGTGTTACTGCCGACCCATACTGCCTGAGGTCTCCCAGTCAGGAAGTCGATAGGTTGGCCCTAGCTGTCTTCAGGCCCACCTCATCTCCAGCTCTGAAGGCAGCGATCCGAGCCTTCAGGAGTCTGTAGACCTCCCCTGTCATCCACGGCATGGTCTGAGGCACCGAGGTGGGGGAGGGGTAGGGCCTTGTAAGCTCCTCTCTGGGTGGTGTAAACAAAGTCCAGAGTGTTGTTTCCCCGTGTTGGAAAGTCTATGTGTTGGTGTATTTTTGGGAACACACTCTTTAAGTCTATCTACCGTCCTCTCAATTAAAGTGCAAAAAGCATGTATATGAGTCGTGATAATGCTAAGAGTGTATAGGCAAACTTATCTGATGAAAGAATGAATAAATAAATAAATAAATACAATATATGGATTGGTGTCCAAAAAAGGTCTCTCTCAATACCTGAGTGTGGGCTCCACTCTCCTGGCTTGTTCTAACTCCTGCTCTGGGTCCCTGAATCCTGTGAAAGTGTAATAAGTCTTGTCCCATTTAATGGGCCGATAGAAAGCTGTTCCAGGCTGTTGTGTTGAGCTCTTCCCAGTCTCAGCCTTGAGCACGTCTTGCATATGTTTAACCGAGAGACTACAGGATCTCAGAACATCCAACACTGTGCTCAGAACATCCTTAGACTGCAGGGTGAGAGTCACTGAACGGAATCCTGGGAAACGTAGGGTTATCTAATTAAAATCATGCATTGAAAACAAATGATACATTACTCTTTTGTAATTGACTGAAAGCCTATATATATATATATATATACATACACACACACACACACAGTTGTGCTCAAATTTACATGCCCCTTGCAGAATATGTAAAACGTTAATAATTTTATCAAAAATTATTATCCTGAGCAGTTCAACTGCCTGTTGTTCTTCAGAAAAATCCTCCAGCTCCTGTACATTCTTTGGTTTTCCAACATTTTCTGCATATTTGAACCATTTCCAACAGTGACTGTATGATTTTGAAATCCATCTTTTCAAATGGAGGACAACTGGGGGAATCATACATAACTATTATATAAGGTAAAAACATTTACTGATGCTCAAGAAGGCAACACAATGCATTAAGAGCTGGAGGGTGTAACCTTTTTGAATTGGATAATCAGGGTAAATTGTACTTATTCTGTCTTAATTTACACATCATCCAGCTCTTAATGCATTGTGTTGCCTTCTTGAGCATCAGTATGTTTCCAACTTTTGTAATAGCTGTGTATGAGTCCCTCAATTGTCCTCCATGTGAAAAGATGGATCTCAAAGTCATACAGTCACTGTTGGAAAGGGTTCAAATATGCAGAAGATGCTGGAAAACCAAAGAATGTGCAGGAGCTGGAGGATTTTTCTGAAGAACAGCAGGCAGTTGAACTGCTCCGGACCAACAAGGCACTCATGAACAACTATCACAACACAGAAAGACAGTCGTGGATCATCCAGGAAACAACACAGATTAAGGTTCACTTTTGGTGTAAACTTTTGAACGGGGTCATTTTTATAAATTCAGTTATTATTTTGTCTTGTGGAGAATATATAAACATCTGTTATGTGAAATAGCTTATTAAGGACAATATTAAATAAACAGTAACATGCAATTTTCATAATCCCTCTTATTTTGTTAAAATTATTAACATTTTGCATATTCTGCAAG